TTTCACACGCTTACTCAGTGGACGTAGTCTTTATTGGATGAGGCAGCACTAGCTAATATATCAGACAAGCCTGTGGTGCCACGAGTCACAGAGATTAAATGACTATTCAATGTTTGTGTTGCGAGGGTTGAGTGTTGGCCATCGCTCTAATGCCAGAAATGAACCTAAATCACACAGAGGCAAAAAACAGACACTGAAAACAGTGATGCTATTGTGCAGTGTGTGCAAACCCAGCGAGGCTGTTGGGTATTGGAGAAAGGAAGTAAGGAAAGAGGAGGAAGACAGATTAAGGATACGAAAAAGAGCAGACTGAAAAGAGAGGCAGGAAAGGGGGTAATTAAATGAAACAAAGGAGGTGTGAAATAAATGCAAGAAAGCCATGGAAGGACATAAAGGATAAAATGAGAAACAAAGAAGAAAGGAAGGGAAAAAAGAGAAACAGGAAGAAAGTGAGTGAATGAGAGGGAGTTTTAGGAGAATCGATGCTGCGTTTCTCCGCTGAGACCGAGCTAACAGCGCAGCAGACCGTGGATCTCAGGTGTCCAGTCGATGGCTGATGCATTAGGCTGCTGATACCCTCCGCTTTGGGTTCAAACACACATTTTCTTAATACAACATGAGCCCATTTCCCCCCCTCATTAATCATGTAACTTGATTAGGGCTAGAGGTCTGGCCTTTACTGAACCCTGCTCCGCTTGCCGCCTTTCATTTTGTCAGGCTTCTCATCATACACACATGCAAGGATACACATGTGCATTCATGCAGACATATTAACTCATGATTTTCCATATGTTTAAAGATAAAGACTTACAAATAATGCATACACCCATGTGCACAGGGTTGAGTGAGCTGGTACCCTTACCCTTTTGTTCTATCACCAGATTGATAATTCTAGGAAACCTTTTTGGAAACCTTCAGTGCTTATTTCTTTTCTGCAATCTCACTACAAAGGGTCACTAAAATGGTCACATGCACTTGTGGTTGGCCCAGATGTCCCTTTGGTTAGCTCAAATAATGCTGTGTGACCTAAAGTCTATACTTTTAGAATTTTGTCATGCCAACAAATCCCATGAAGAAGATGTCTATCAATATTTTTGTGACTTCCTCAGCCTGTCTGTGGCAGTTATTTCTCTGAAGATGTTTATTTTTTTTTAAAGGACAAATAATTTACAGGTGGACATTGTAGATTTTAACAAACATTACTACAATAAAAGTAAATTATGTATGCTTATGTGAACCCAGTGCAATGGTGTGTGTGTTCCATAGCTTTTGGACAACCATTGAGTTATATGGTAAAGAGCTTTATTAGGCTTTCTATAGACAGATACATGCTTGTTAGTAGGATCAATTCATAGATGGTTGTGGTTTTGGTTTGGTTGTCATGGGATTAGTTGAGAAAAAAATAGCTATCAGATTCATCCTTTAAGGCAAAATTATCTCTAACCCTAAAGAGGTGCCCCTCATCCACCCCTTCATTTTTGTCCCTGCCCCTTCAAGAGTCTATGGACACTGCCACAACCCGTATACTACACCTGTATGCACCCACAGACATGTACTGTATGCATGGCCACACATTTAACAAAATGCAAAAAGCACACTGACAGATTTAAACTGAGAGGACACCGCACTGTGGTGTCATAGCTGTAAGAGACGTCAGTGTTATGATTATGACTAATTTCAGCCGCTCTTCAGGACACAGAGTGTGAAAGACAGGCTGACAGACTGAGTTAAACATAATACCACTGAACTAAATACCATTCTGGCATTCATCGACAAATGACAGGTCCAATCATTGATTTGCTCAGGCTCATTGTCATGTAGTCTAAGTGAGCTGGAACAGATAACCTGAGTTTCATGTGTTCTTTTTTTCCCCTCTGATTTTCACATCCATATGAACACACACTAAATGTTCACATACAAAGTTTATTCTCTCTCTGTCACTCATGGTCCTTCTTCTCACTCGCCTACCCTCTGTCTATTGCTTTTCTCTGCCAAGCTTTTACCCGTGGCAACACACACATACAGGGACATATATTTACAGTAAGATGGCCTGAGACCTTCAGTTCAATGTCACAAACAATTATTATGTCATATGTAAACACACACACGCTTGCACCAACAAACAAACTTTTCATTGGACTTTCTAGACTCAGCTCTTTCCTGGGTAGAGACACAGATGTGTCTTTATTTCAGATGAGAGGACGTGTCAGATGTTCCACTATGATTTCATATTTCTGCTGCTTTTGCCTCACTGGTTGGAAATACTGTACAGTATGTCCACTTGAACTTTGTCTGACTCCGGCTTGTTTATTGATGCATACAAATATTTCACTTATGTTTGAATGCATGGGCACATTCATCACTATATATCTGCAAGCACCCAGATCCAAGGTTGAATTTCTGCAGTTTACTGAAGCGCCTACCTGAAGGATCCTCATAAAATCAGGCATTCAAACCTTAGAAGATAGAGACACTGTCATTAGTTTTTTTATGTGGAAACTCATGCCATTAAGATTCAGCACCATGGGCAGCATTTATTTAGTATAAATTCAAAAGGCATAGAGGAATAAGCTTTATTAGGCTTTCTATAGCAGGCCGGGCATGGTACTCATTGATAGGATCAATTCATTGTTGGTTGTGGTTTTGGTTTGGTTGTCATGGGATTAGTTGAGACAAATATAGTATATCAGACTCGTGCGTTAAGGCAAAATTAGCTCTTACCCAAAAGAAGTGCCCCTTACCCTCCCCTTTATTTCTGCCCCTCCCCCTTTAAGATTCTGTGGACACAGCCACACCTGTACACTACACCTGTATGCACCCACAGACATGTA